GTATTTGAAGAATCACACAAAACCTGGAGTGTAAGCTGTATCTTTTATCTACTTCTACAGTGATAGCTATATCTATCTTGGAGGGTAGGAAGGTTCTGCAGAGAGATCTGGACAGGCTGGATCAATGGGCCAAGACCAATGATATGAAGTGATAAGGTGAAGTGCCAGGTCCTGCATGTGGGTCACAACAATCCCTGTAGTGCTACAGGCTTGGGAAAGAGTGACTGGAAAGCTGCCCATCGAAAGGGACCTGGGGGTGCTGGTCAACAGCAGCTGAACATGAGACAGCAGTGTGCCCAGGTGGTCAAGAAGGCCAGTGGTATCCTGGCCTTTATCAGGAATAGTGTGGCCAGCAGGACCAGGGCAGTGATGGTCCCCCTGTACTTGACACTGGTGAGGCCGCACCTCAAGTGTCCAGATCTGGGCTCCTCACTACAAGAAAGACATTGAAGTGCTGGAGTGAGTCCAGAGAAGGGCAGCAAAGTTGCTGAAGGGTCTAGAAAGTAATTCCTATGAGGAGTGGATGAGGGAGCTGGGGTTGTTTAGCCTGGAGAAAAGGATGGTCAGGGGAGACCTTATCACTCTCTACAACCACCTGAAAGGAGGTTGTAGCCAGGTGGGGGTTGGTTTCTCCTAGGCAACAAGCAACAGGACAAGAGGACATGGTCTCAAGCTGTGCCAGAAGAGGTTCAGGCTGGATATCAAACAGAATTTCTTCATAGAAACAGTTGGTAAGAATTAGAATGGACTGCCCAGGGAGGTGGTGGAGCCACCATCCCTGGAAATGTTTAAGAAATGACTGGATGCAGAACTTAGTGCCATGGTCTAGTTGACAATGTGGTTTTCAGTCAAAGGTTGGACTCGATGATCTAGAAGGACTTTTCCAACCTATATGATTCTATAATTCTCATATTCACTATTTACTATGCATGAAGGAATTAAAGCATTCTGAATTGAACAAGGGAGATTATGCTGACAAAACCCTAATGACCACACAACTAATTTACTGGGGATTATGCCAAACAAAAATAAGAGCTAATATCTGAGAAATCTGAGGTACATGAATGCGTGAGAAGGAGATACAGTTTTCTCTACGGGAAATGAATCATCTACTTTTTATAAGCCTCATGATACTCAGGCAGTGCAAATATTTATCTACTGCATTGGTAGCACAGTGGTGTAACAAGTCGGACAACTATTTGCAGGCTGTTCCTATATATAAAAATCTATCATTAAGTTACATTGCCAAACAACATGTTTAGAATTCTTTTTTTAAAAAATCCCACTACTCAGAAAATACTAATTTGACTTCTAGGACACCTCTTCACAAAATGACTTAGAAACAGTCATTTCTAAATATCCTTCTGTTGATTTTTTTTTTATTCCTGTATATGCGTGTTCGCCCTTTAGGCACATCTTTAACACTGAGGGATCTTCCCAGCATCACAAGAACCTTAGGTGACATTTTGATTCAAGTGAGCTAAACTATAAAAGGTAATATTGTGCCTTTAGCAAGAAAATTAAGACAGATAGATCTCCTGACTTCAAAATTTAGTTATTTTAAGCATACAGCAGCCAACCAGGGCAACATGTATTTCCTGCATATATGTTTATATGCTTTATCAGAGTATCTTAACACCACAGAAAACAATCTATCGACTATGCAATGTGAATAGCATCTTAAATCGTGTATTCTTCATTGCAATTTCTCTGTGTAGAGCCACTGACTGACTGACTACATAATTAACATTACTCAGAAGAAAGAAAAACTTTTATCTCACTAAAACTTGCTGTGGTTTATTTATTAAGACGCAGGTGACCACATGTTTCAGACTACTCCTTCTCACACATTGTTTTTTAGGCATGTTGTGACACTTCACTGTTACAAATACCAGTTCTTAAAAATGGTAACTTACCTCAGAGGTCTGCCTCTGGGCCTCTCAGCAAAAGGCTAAAACTTCAACCAACAGGAGCACTAAAATGTGAAGTGAAAGGAAAATAAAACTAAGAATTGTTATTCCCATATATCGATCAAAGTAAGAGGGTTGAATGCATTCATAGAGCCTTAGGAACTATAGTTCCTCTTAAAATATATAACCTGTCTAACAGCTTTATGTCTCCATGACAGCAGCACTGAAAAGATTACTTATGGGAAACTCAGTCTTTGTTACAGAACCGTACATATTAGACGTTTAAAAAGTCCAGCAAGAAAAGCCCTTTAAGATTTTAAAAACAAAGATCAGATTACAGTTTTTGTCCTATTCATTTAATGTGGTTTTTTCCAATAAGGTGACAGTGGTTTAGAGTAAGTAGATCAAATTCAGTGGCTCCCAATGTTTATGTTCTAAAAAACCTAAGCTTTCTTATACTGCTAAAGGATGCCTAAGAACAATCCATAAAAACAGTATCCTACACTGGTCCAGCATATTATTTGTCTTGCTATAAACAATAACAACATCTTGAAACACACGATCACAAAATTACACTTTTTTATAGCCCAGATGTATTTCAAACCTTCCTATATGCAAACCAAGAGCTCTCCAGCCAGCTGTCTTCAATTCTGTATCACAGCAGCTACTTGCAGTCAGTGTTCCCTGTGCCTGGCAGGCATCATACATGCTCTGCATACCCGTAGGCAGCGGCTCTGAACACAGGCACACAGCAATCATGCTAATTCCTGGAACGATCAGATGATTGCACCTATGCTAATCACCTACCATGAGGACTTTGTAACAACCCCTCTGGATACGGGCAGCATCAGAACCAAATTGCCATGAGTAGAACTAATTCAGCTGTGCCTTGTATAAAGCACTGAGTGAACACGTGCACTTTGATCCACCTACGGGGTGGAATGGATCTACAGGATAAAGTCTCCTTTCAACCACAGAAGAAAGTATTAAGCAAGTGATCCAAACCACTAAAGACTATTTCTTAAACAGAAGCTTGGATCCAGAATCCAGTCCCAAAATTCCTATATTCAGAGATCCTTCAAACACTTAATAATGCCCTTTTTAAATGCCTGAGCAACAGCATCTCAACTAAAACAATATTAAAGATAAACCACAGAAATCAAACAGAATTACAGAATTGATGGAAAAGACCTTTAAAGTTATAAAACAATTAAGAGCACTGTAATTCCACTTCCTACTTGTTTGCACAAGCCACATCACAACTTCAAATGTGATATTAGAAGGGGATATTATTAATCTTTGCCTAACTGATCTAAGAACAGAAGCAATTTTGTTGGGTTTAACAGAAACTAGTATCTATAAATACTAACATAATCACGTATTATTTATGTTGAAATAGCATCCTGACTTTCACAGGAAAATAAACAGGAAGGGAAAAAATGTATCTTCCACCCTCACTTTGCCCCTAAAGGTATTTCCTCTAGGAAACCATGGTAATGACAGCATCTGTTCCTAAATCAAATAAGGTAAAAAAAAAAAATTAAACTCCACCCCAGGTACCTGTGGAGTTGAGATTTTAGTTTTTGGCGTTGTTTGTACTAAAGAGCTACTGTGGCTCCCCTCTGCCTTCAATTCTGAAGAAATGTTAATGTCCTGGGTGTAACAGAAGGCTGTACAAACACTGCGATACCGCACTGCTACCTTGACATTCTGGCAGATGACATTTAACAAAATTAGTTATTCAGCTTACCAGAAATGGACTTTTGTTTTCAACAGCTGAACTAAAATTAGTCCAAAAGTCATCTATAATGAGTCTGTATCTATTAATTTTGAGATATTTAACACAAACATACTTGTTGCAAAAATACTGCATTCTTTCTAGCACCATAACAGAAAAACAGAAAGACCCCTTTCTTTTTCTCTTCGCACATCTTTCTTGCTCACTTTTTCTTCTAATTCTTGTTGGTGTTCTGCATGCCCTTTGAAGCATCTCACCTCTGTGATTATACACCTACAAAGTTAAAATTTAAAGCTTCAACTCAAAAAAAAAAAAAATCCGGGATTAAGTTTGACTCTACTTCTACTAAACAAACTTTATGCACCACCACAGAAACAAAACTCTCAAGAAAACAAATGTTTTGGAGGCAGGGCAATGGATATTACCTTGAAGATACTTAATGGACTTTGAAGACAGGAGTACGGAAGCAAAAGTGAAGAGGTTTCACATTTTCACTTTCCCCTAGTGGAAGAGCAAGTTATGACAACATGAACGTCATCTAAGGCTTGTCTTATATATATTATGCAATTGCAATGAAGCAAGAAAACAACCACCCACTCAAGCAGCAGCTCAGGAAGAACAGCATGTGGTTTTCAGGAACGATGCTGCATCTCAAGAGACACCTCTCTAAGAGGTGAGGGTGCTTTTCAGAGTGGCACTTACAGCGCCACAGAGATCGGTACTGCGGACTCAAACCTTCCGGCCTAGAAGTTCAGCTTCGCCGAGTTTCGCTACCTGCGGGACGGCGGGTGAAGGGCGATGCCCCGAGCCCCGCAGCAGCACCGGGCAGCGCGCCCGTGTCCCGGCGCAGGGAGCAGAGCCGCACCCGGGGCACGTTCCACGAGAGGAAGCGGCCGCAGGCGCCTGTAGCCCTGCCCTGCCCCGCAGCCCCAGCCCCACATGGCTCTCACTGGATAAGGTTGGTGGGCCGAGAGCGCAAAGCCCGCTGCAAATGGGCCGGCACACAGCCGAGAGACGTGGGCCGAACCCGGCCCCTCCTCACCTGCAGCGGCGGCGCTTCCGCACCCCGAGCCCCGAGTCCCCAGCCCGCGGCGGCCACGCCCGCTCCAGCCGGACACGCCCGCCCCGCCCCGGAGCGCAGGCGCAGAGCCCTCCGCCCCTCCCGCCCACCCCGCGTCCCGGGCAGGCGGGCGGGAGGGTCGAGGCCCAGTGTGGCTCCGGGTCGGGGCCGCGCAATGCCCGATGCTCGGCACCGCGGGCGGGCCGGCGGCCCGGGCGGCCCCTGCCCTTGTGTGCCCCCGCGCCCGGGCAGGGCCGCGGGGCGGAGCGGCTCCTCCGGAGGCGGGGGGCGGTGCTGGCGGCGGCGATGGCGACGCTCATGGCGGTGCTGGCGCGGCCCTTCCGCCGTGGTCCTGCCGGCCTAGGGCTGCGGCTCCGACGGGAGGCGACGGACGGCCCGTGGGGCCGGGGCCGGACGTGGAGCGAGGTAGCCGGCGTGCCCCTCGGGGCGGGGGGGCGCGACCGCTCCCAGGGGCTTCTTGGAACGGGCTGCCATGAAGGCGGTGGAGTCACCGCCCCTGGGGGTGTTTAAGAAAAGACTGGACGCGGCACTTCGTGCCATGGTCCCGTTGACATGGTGGTGTTCGGTCATGGGTTGGACTCGATGATCTCAGAGGTCTTTGCCGACCTGATCGATCCTGTGATTCTCACAGGCTCTGCCGCCGCTCGCCCCCGCGGGGCCGCTCCGCCGCGGGTGGGGATGCGGGAGGAGGCGGCAGTGGGGAGGCTCCGGCATCGCGGGGCGTAGCGAAGGGCTGGTTTGGTTTCGCAAAAGCTGGGAGCCCTCTGCTCGTTTGAAGAACACTAGTGCGCTTTTTTTGCTTCTTATCTTGTATTTGTTCCGTATCTATGGTTTATTTTCAGTCTAGCGCTGTGGTCGTTTTAAAGCGTAATCATGAGTTTCTGTTGAATATACTTAAAATACCCTCTTGATGAACTGTTTTGTCTTATGAAGGTTTTTTAACATTTAAACGTTTTTTCTTTGCTCAAAATCTGAAATATAACCGGTGCTACAGACAAAAAAAAAATTAAACTCAGAACGATAATGTTAATGTCTATCTTATGATCCCATACAGGTGCTTAGAAAAAGCCTTCACAGGGGGCTTGTGCTTTCAACAGGGTCCTTTTTGGCTTATGAAGCTCATAAGGTGACTTTTGGCTTTGCTGAGGTTCATGCAAGCTTCAAAGGTAATATTTTCAAATTTTGAAGTATATAGGATACTCTCATGTGAAAGTTAAAATTTTTAGTGCAAGAATTATAGAGAAAAATGGTGTAATGCTTTTTGATTTTCTCTATTAAGACTGCATGCAATGTGATTTAATGGCAGGATGCTTTTGAATCGTTTATGGGTAGCCTTGTAGCAGTTTTTAACAAGTGCTTTCAGCTGTCACTGAAAGCAGATTTAGTAGCTTATCCTGACAGGGATGGAACACATGTACAAGGTGTATGATACCTAACTTGCTCCCCAAGCTTTAAATAAATCATACTGAAAAGTTCACTTAGGAACACAGACCAAAGCTTATTTGATTTCTAGAAATTTTAGTTAGTTTAGATTTTCAGTATGAAAAAGTGTGATTCCCATTTTATCTAGTTGAGCAATACTGAGATTGCATCTCAAAGAGAGTTGAGAAATGCCTTGTATTTTTGTGACACTTCAAAATCCTGCTTTCCCTACCAGAAAACAATATAACAAGTGATAAAATATCCTTTTCAAATTTGAATAAGGATAGTTTCACTGCTGGAAGAACAGTAACAACATCTTAAAAGAGGATATTGTTACAGACTTAGAACTCATCTATCACATGGTAAATTAAGGATTTTGAGAGTAAGCCTAGCTGAATAGAGAATGAGCCTGACTGGCTATAGGCATACTGTGTTGATGCTTATAGAAATAAAAATTCAGACAATTAATTTTTGAGCAAATAAGGAACTGTCTCATTTTCTATAACAGAAGAAGTGTCAGTGAATAGATTTGAGATAGCCACTTGGTACACAAAGAAGAAATAGTAATAACAAGGAATAAGGAATTCCTCATTTCTCATGAGGAACATAAATAACACTGTGTAGTCACCTCTAGTCTTTTCAGTGCTCCCTCTTGAATCTGGCATTTACATTGCCAAGAAAAGCAATGGTAATGGGCTTTCTTTGCAAAACAAGTAATAGATAAGGTGAAAATATGGGTAAAATAGAAATACCTGAAAAAATACTCCAAAACAACAAAAGTATAATAATTTGCATAAAAACACCTCGTGGGAAATGTGTTCAGAGTTTTGAGCATTTAGTCATTAGATATGTTAGTAGTGTTAAGGTCAACAAGCAAACATAACAGTTTACTGAAGATAATACTGAAGATGTACCATGAAGCTCATTTTAAACACTAAGATCTAAAGTCCAGGTAGACCGTTAGCTTATCTTTGAAAGATAAGGCAGCAAGGTTAAAAATTATCTAGATTTATAGTCTAGGATCTTTTTAAACTGAAGAGCAGGCTGCTGTGTTTAATAACCTTTAATGTTTTCCTTCTTCTGTTAAGGAAAACTCTGCTGCCGCTAATTGTGTCTACCCTATTTACTAGGTAACGTCAAAAAGGAAAGCTTATAAACACAATTAATTTTTATGAAGGAGCTTAGAGCTTATGTTTTGTTAAGCATCCAAGCTGTCTTGCTGAAAGCTGTTGTAGTTGCATTAGAGAGGCACTCATCCTAGTTGAGCATTGTACATGTTGCTTATTCGATCCTGCTGTACCTGTAAGTTGTTTGGAATGAGCTATATCATTTTCAGCTAGGTTGTCTTGCTCTAAAATATTTTGTTTATGCTATAATGTGCTAATTACCTGTAATTTTTTTTCTGTTTCCCCAATTTTAATTTCTTCTGAAGTGGAAGAAGTGATAGAACAAGCAGACTACCTGTACGGGAGTGGAGAAACTGAAAAACTGTATCAGTTGCTGGTTCAGCATAAAAATAGGTACTTTGTTACATTGAGACATTACTGTGACTTTTCGGTGCTCTTCTGTATCAGTTTTTCAACAAATATGCTCTCTGTAATATGCTGGAGAACCTTGCTTTCACCCTTATATAAGTAGGAAAGGATTCCTAATCTTTTCCCTCCTACTGGAAAAATGAATAAAGAAAGAACTGGTAACTGTAGAAGATGAGAGTTAACCCTTAAGTTTTTCAGTCCTGCAAAGGAGAGGTTTTTGCTTGTTTGCTTTGTTACTCAAATTTTAAATAATTTTCAAATTACTGCAAAAACTCATAATGTGGCTATGCATTAGTAAAGGATCAAGGTACCTAGAATTCAGGTGTTGAAAATTTTTGAGTCACTGTTTCATTTCTTTTTCACTGCTGACCTGCTATTCTTTCTGTTTTCATTTGTCTAATGTTAGGATTTGAGTCTGAACAAAAAAGGCCCTTGCTCATGTAGTTATGTCTTATGTGCAAAAAATATTGAGTGAACTGGGATAAGCTGTTCAAAGAAAAAGCAGAAAAGGGATTGCAAACTTAAGAGTCCATTCCCTTGGAGGAGACAAAACATCTCGCTCCAAAAACATTTTGGTTCTTTTCAGTAGTTTGCAGATCCTGGGTCTGTTTTTTTTTCCCTTATTTCTTTTTTCCTCCCTTGTTCTTGCCAGGGGTGCAAGTGTAAAACCTGTGAAATTAAATGAAGTTCCCAGCCTGTAAGGGACAGCATATCATAAGCGAGGTGTAAGCTTGTTACTAGGTGTATAACAACACTAATTATTCTCTGAGGAGTAATGATTCCAGTAGCAGTACTTAAGATTTTTGTGACTTAGCTGAAAAATGAGCCTTCTAGGTCCGTGTTACTCTGTTGAATAGAGCAGGACTGCTGTGCTGCAAGAGCAGTGACTCACTGTTACTTCAGATAAGAATAGAAAACTGATACTCTGAGTTTAGCAATAATTCTTATATTCTTTTAAATACTTTTAGTTTCTGGTAGTTTTGACTTCGGTGTTCTGGGGCTGGAGGTTTATAGCCACACAAATAAGACCTAAACACTCTAAATTTAAGTCTCTATTAAAATGGAAAGCCAAAATTAAAATGGTTGTACTCTAAAAGTGCAAGCAGCGTTTCATAACAATGTGAACAAAATGAAATTTTAGATCCTTTATCTTTGGCTATAACCTACCATATCATTTGATAAACTGATATAAATAAATACATAGACATAAAGTTTTTGTGCTGGTGGTGTGGCTAATCTGCGTTTTTTCACTGTTGTTCTAGGAAGAATTTAATTATTTAAGTATAATTATAGGAAAAAGATTGATAGTGTTTTAAATATTCCGAGTAAACATCAATAGAAATCAGTGGAATGTTGGAAAAAATACCATCTAGCTAAGAACAGAGTAGTCCTCTTTTCCTTCCGGTGTGTTGAGTGGTACCATTATTTTTTTTTATCTTTTTTGTTTTTTGAGAAAACAAAGACCTTTCCTACAGATCTATTTGCTTTGCAGACCAGAATGGCAGAACAGAAGTATTGTCAGACAGTCTGTAATGGTGGGCTTTCCTTTTCTATTTCTTATCTTGCGGTTGTATATAGCATAGCAGGACAGATGACAATGACATAAGACAATGTTGTCTTATCACCCACTTGAGATACATTTTGATAGACTGGTTTAAGACCTTTGCTGGCTTTGTTTCCATTATTGCTTTAAAATGTTAGCGTTTCTCTTCCAAACTAGTGATGATGCGGAGTTGTTGTGGCGGCTGGCACGGGCATCACGAGATCTAGCTCAGCTTAGTAGTACTTCTGCAGAGGAGAAGAAACAACTGACTTATGACTCCTTTGAGTATGCAAAAAAGGCTCTTGAAAAAAACGAATCAAATTCTGCAGCGCACAAGGTGAGCCATGCAAAATAACTGAAATCTTGGTTGTTGATTTCTGCTAGTAGAAACTGGAAATGTCACTGTGCTGTTAGCAAACTTCAGCATAATTTAACTTTTCAGCTGAGAATGAATGAGACTTCTGATTCTCCCTAACTTTTTTGGAAGATCTGAGTTCAGACTTCTCCAGCTAAATTTCCTCTATACAGGAAACAGAAACTGGTTAAATGTATGCAGGACCATGGAGAGAGGTGTGACTGATGAGGTTTATTACAGCAGATGTAATCAGCTACTCCTCCTCTGATGTAGCCTTAAAAATGTTGTACATGTCCCACATTCAGCATGCTATTTCTGTATTCTGTAGGGCTTCACTAGAAATACTTCAGGCCCTGACTTTGTTCTGCTTTTTTTTTGGTGCTGCTTCTCTCACGGGCAAAGTATAGTCACTTGTGTTGACATCTAGGATCAGAAGAGGACATTTATTCCCTTACACATGCAGACCAGCAGGTCACACTGATGCTGCCTCAGCTGTTCACAATAAATACTTCTTGCTTGTTTATCATTTGTGGTGGTGGCAGCCCTTCTGGTTGCAGGTTTTTAAAAATGTACTATCAATAGCTATAGTGCTGTATTAAATGTTTTATTTTTGTTATTTGAATTACAGTGGTATGGAATTTGCCTCAGTGATGTTGGAGACTATGAAGGAATCAAGACTAAAATTGGAAATGCTATTGTTATCAAGGAGCATTTTCAGGTAATGCAAAGAGTTTTTTGCATATGACAGCATCAATGTATAGATTGTGTGACAGCTGGTAACTAATTTTTGGCAAAATATTGAAAGCGTACTTCTGTTTATATCTCTAGTGACACTTTGTTTTTTGTGTTCTTGTGACATATGCCTCAGAAATGCTGGGGAAACAAGGAGTACAAATTATCCCCTGCAGTAAACCAAATCCCTTTAGAAGGGAGTCTTGAAATAGCTGAAGTGCTTTAGACACCTCTTAGGACTAGATAAAATGTAACAGTGATATTGAGAAATGGCTCTGTGGCCGTCCTTTGAATTGTGGATTATGTAGTGGTAAAGGACAAATACTGGAAAAGATAAGGGACTACTAATTTTATATCACCAGAGATTATATCAAAATCTGAACACACAAAGTCTCATATGCAACTTTTAATGACCTACTAAGCAGAAGTGCTTAGAATCTGTCAGTGTTGTCAGTTTTTTGGAGGTGAGCTGATGTAGTTATGTACTGAATAAATAATATATTGCCTTGAAATTCTACACCTGATGAGGCTGGTTTAATTAACAGCAGGATAACAAGTCTACTTTTTAAATGTATTTTAATCCACATATGTCAGAACAACTTCTTATATCCTGTATTGGTTTTTTTCTCCCCTCAACAGAGAGCCATTGAACTAAATCCAAAAGATGCTACAACAATTCATCTTATAGGGATTTGGTAAGGCATATTTTCAAACAAAATTTAGCATTTGGCAAAGAAAAATGCCAGAATATAAAATATCTTACATTAATTGCTTGTAATAATTTAGTGACTTGTAATTGATGCAAACATGAAAACCTATTAAACAGGTATGGAACATCATGCCTTGAAAAAGTCTGGCTGTTAAGCAGTTCAAAAAGATGAAAAATACTTGTTCATTTAATTTATTTGTATGGAACTATTAAAAACTCGATTTGCAGACATTAAGTTTGCTTCATAGAATCCATAGCAGGCATCAGCAATTCTGAGTGCTGCTCATTTTGGTTTACTGGTGTGAATGGAGTCAACTCAACACTGAATTTCTGTTGAATTCCAGGGATAACTGCAACTTAAAACAGTCTGTGAAAAACAGTGAGATGTGTTCCTAAAATACTTCTCTTGTTATCTGTCATGATACGGTATTTTCAAAGTTATATTAATAAATGGATTTATAAATTCATATATATTAACAAAAAATCTTTGAAATTTAATTTCCTGCTCAGTGAAATTGGTACTTAAAATTACTGTTACATAGCAGGCAAAGGGACTGGAAATACAACTTTCCATACAAACCAGGGCATTCTGTGGAAGTGGTGTGATGGAAAGCAGTATTTTTTATGTGCTGGTGAGAGACTCCAGACAGCGCTTTTGGTTATTTGTTTCAAAAAGACCAAAGCTATTACACTGTTTTACAGGAAATCTCTGCTGTGAGATTGAAAATAAAGAAAGCCAATATATTTGCAGTTTAAAAAAAATACTAAAAACCACAGTTACTTTCTGTACGGATTTTTTTGACTCTTGAGTATCAGAAAACTACAATCTGCTGCTCCAAAGTTTTTTATTAGTGTACAAACTTACTTTGGTTTTTCAGCATCCACCACTCATTCCCATATGATGCAACAATTGCAATAGTCCAAATATCTAAACAAAAGCATATACTGCCAACTGACTGAGCCTCAAGGTCCGTTTTGAGATAGGAAGCTTGTTCTGGAAAGTACTTAAGACATTGTTCCTAAGGAAAATTAGAAAACATGATAAGAAATGTGAGATTATTGCTGCTTTTGGCTCTAAAATATTCCCATGTTGTATGTTTAAATATACTCAATACTGAATCCCAGAGCATCTTCATCTGAAACTGGCATTTGGTATCAGCCAATTCTTGAATATTTATTAATTTTTCACCTCCTCTAGAGTGCTCTATTTTACATAGTGTAATTGTAAACTCATTGTGGGAGGCTACTAAACTGAATGTTTAAGCGTTGTTTAATGTTTACATCTGGAATGTTCTGTGGACTTGAAATGCTTCACAGATGTTTTCACCAATAAGTAGGTGACTGATCGATTACCTGTGTTATTTAGTAGATAGGAAAACAGTGTAGCATGACCTAGCCTAGAACACAGTGGTTTGATTCTTGGATTTATTTTCATTCTTATAGATCAGAGTCTTTCAGGAATGTACTGCAGATCTGCTTTATATTAATAATTGAAAAAAGCAAAGTAGTGTTGAGGTAAGGCAATGACATTACTCAGTTGTGCCATTTTTACAAATATATTAGAACAAAATACACACATTAAAATCATTAAAGCTCAAAAGCTGTCTCATGCTTAGTAAATGTGTCCGGTTTTACCTAATGTAATTAGTTCCCAGTAAAAGACACATCAAAACTTCTTTAGTAGCAGTTTTGGACATCCTGCTATTTTCTTGTACAGACATAAGATCATGGTTTTAGAACTTGCAGTGTGTCTGGAGTTTTGACTCTTGAAAACAACACTTATGACATCCAGTTTTTATGTTCAACAACAATTATGAGAGTATTTCGCAAAAACAAGAGAAATATGGGAAGGGTAGATATAAATGTTTCTTTTTCCTTCAGGTGTTACTCCTTTGCTGAAATGCCATGGTACCAAAGAAAAATTGCTGCAACGCTGTTTGCCACACCACCAACCTCCACGTTTCAAGAGGTACAGTAGGAAAATGTTTCATAGATTATTATTTTCCCCACAAAGCTGTTGATATACTTTTACTTATTTTCCTGTCAAAGCTGACCTCTGCTTATGGAATAAGCATGGACTTGGGAGTTTACAACTATCAATAATAAAATAAGAATAGAACAGGAGGGTGAGGGATAACTAAAAACTTAAAAACCTTTTAATTTTTTTCAGCTGTAGCACACACAGAATAGTGAAAATTATTCCATGTAGATTATGCAGCAGAAAATAACAAGCTGTATGTAACTTAGTTTGAATTTACTGTTGTGATCTGTTGCAGATAACCGTCTGTACTAGTGCAGTGCTGATGATTTATATGGTGCTGTTATACCATGTATTTATTTGATAGGACTATTAGAATTTGTCCCTTTAAATGCTAAAAAGCAACAGGTTGCTTTGTTACTTAACATCAGCAAATACCCTCTCATTCCTTGGCCACAAAGGGTGGGGTTTTTTAAGTTGAAAATAATTTTTTCACTCTTTGCTATGAAAATTCCTGCTGTCATACGCCCTAAAACATACTGTCCAGATATTTATCTTCTAGGGTGTCTAAAACAGCGTGCATCTTATTTAAACACCTGTACATATATAGAAACTTGAAAATTGAATCGGTAATAGGAAAGTTTGCTGCAGCTGTTACAATCTCTGGTTGTTTAGATCAACTAATAACTGTTTTGTTCTTTTATGGTGGGGGGGCAGGAGTCACTAGGAAGTAATCGTAGAAGACTGCTTGCTGTTACACAGAAAGCAATTTAAGGTCTGATTGAAAAAGAAATAAAACTTTTTAATGGAATGTCAAGCTTGTAAGTTTTGCTGAAAATCACTCTCAGAAGAATACAAAACATCAACCAGGATTTCAAATACTGCAAAATGATGCCAGCCCCAGCATCAAGTTCTGTAGCACTTAAAGTGGCTGAAGAAGCAAACTTATACTGGAAGGATTTCTGCAGTTTCAGTACAAAATATGTTTTGTATATACATCCATACTTTTAAGTTCTCTGAGAGTGTTTTCCCCCCAACTAGTACCATTAGGAAGAGGTAGAGTTGGACTGAAATTTCGTATGTGCAGGATGGGAAACTGATTGCAAAATATGTGGATTTCAGAAATGTTTATCCTCATGTAAGAGGGTGCTAACTAGTGTTCTGTGGGAGTTAGTTCTCTCTCTGAAGCATTTGTTAACATTAATGTCCTAAATCATAAGATTCATTTCATCTGTTGAATTTATACATAAGAAGCGTATGGGGAAAACTGCAGATGTGCTGGATGGTACAAATAAAATGTGAAATTATCTTGACAAGTTAAACTGGAAATACACAATCTGGTTTGCTGGGGACAAAAAGGTGGTACTGTACTTAATGGAAGAAGTGGTTAGGGGGATATTTTGGATAAGTACGAGTTCTGCTGAAATAATGTCAAATCTAATTGTACATTGAATGAGAAGCATCATAGGATGTTGAATTATTAAAAATAAGATCACAGACAGGAAGTCCTTATCCAGCTATTTTAAGCATGCACGTAAGGCTTTAGTTTGTGTTTCGTTTATTCTCCATTTTAAGGAAGACAACTCTGTCTTTTACAGGCGCTACGTTACTTTCACATGGCAGAGGAAGGTAATATTTCAAGCTTGTTTTGACTGAAAAGTATCTTTTGTGAATGACAACTTGCAGTAAACCTCTAGTTTTCGGTATCACCTTAATAGCTGTAGCTATTAATAGCCAGGTAAACCAAACAGTACAGTATGATCAGCTGATAAATGTATCAGCCTGGTGCACCAGTCAGCACACTGGACTGTTAGGCTGGCACATTTCTTCAGAGATACTCAAAGTATGCTACACACTTTCTATCATCACTTACAGTGTAATGTGAAGGTTTTTTCAGAATAAGTATTAAAGTGAAATTTGTACCTTCCTAAGTAACAAAGTGCTCTTCCCCAAGGAATTCAACTGGAGTGCAGGAGAAAGAAGAAATCAAAAAAAAGAGAATTCTATGTTACTTTTCTCAAAATTTAGTTCTCTGTATTCTAAATAGAACAACAGAAAAAGCACACTTTTTATTATTTCAGAAGTGATTAGGATCAGAGTGCCAATCTAACTGGCAGTAAAACTGTCCACATGATGTAGAAGAAAATATGAAGCTACTGTTTCTCCAAGAGTGAAGTCGAAAGCAAAACTGACTAGCTGAAAGATAAAGGAAGACAAGGAAAGACAGTGTTTTACGAAAGACTTGCACATAGTTAAACCAGTGAAGTTTAAAGGAAAAGCTCATTGTGTCCTGAGTGTCCCATAAGGCATCTGTGAGCTGGAACACTGAACTTTGTCTCAAAATTTGCCTTTAAAACACCTCCATATGTTTTGAATCCTGATCTTAGGTCCAGCAGCAGAAAAAGCCTGCATTTATAAGTATGGACTGTAGGCAAGATTAGCCTTTAATAATGATTGATAGCCAAGCTTGCTTAGTAAATAGCTTTAAATCTCTACTTAAAAAATGTTGAATGTGGGTACAAATAATTTTAAGTTTTCTTCTGTGCAACAAAAGCTAAACTGGTATCTTTATGTGCTAGGAAATGTACCCTTTTTTCCTTTGTCTATACTTGCTCAGCTGGTTGCATTGCCTGTTGTACCTGCTAGGTCCAAAAAAGCCCAAAATCTCCAAAACAAAGCTGTTACACATTAAGCTCACTGCTTTGCTCTTTGTGAGGAATCTAGTTTCATTTAGTAACTAACAAGCTTCTAGTTAATATACTTGTATATAAGACCAAAATCTAGTAAGTGAAAGTTTTACATTGGCTTCCTTCTGATCCAAAGCCAAAAGACTATATGTGTTTTCTGAAATAAGTATCAAAGGGCTTTGATAATACGCTACTCGTTCTCATGTAAAGCTTTTCTCCTGTCTATGCAGCTGATCCAAATTTCTACAGCAAAAATTTGCTCTTTTTGGGGAAGACATACTTGAAGTTAAACAATAAAAAGATGGCTCTTCTCTGGTTAAGCAAAGCAAAGGAGTATCCTGCACAGACAGAAGAGGACAAACAGGTAGGAAGAACTGTAATAGTACATGTATTGTAACCAACATGTGACATCATGGCAGTGAAATGTTTTATAAAGTTAACTCAGATGAAATTGTAGTTCAGCACCTATTATTCAGAATCATATCAGCACCAAAAAACTCCAGTATGTAGCTAATCACCCCTGAACACAGTGGTTGGAAATATTCTGTTTATTTACTGTAGAGAACTGTTACATTTCCTTCTCCATGATGTTTTTGTAGTGCTAACAACAACCGAGCCTTAGCTGTGTTGCTGAAGTTCAGGCAGGCCCTCGGGCTAGCCTCTGTCTCTGTGAGCAAATTGACTTTTTGTATGCCTAAAACTGGAAAGGTAGGTTTTGGAAGAGCTAAAAATCACATGAACGTGAGGAAGAAAAAAAACCCCACATATATGTGAAAAACTTAATACTGCAGTCCATTCCAAGCCCTTAGGGACAGATTCAGATGGTCTGAATTGACACAAATGGAGGTAATGTATCTTTGACAGCAAACCTCCAATGCATGGTGGCATCAGGCACTTAATTACCCTTTGGAACTGCTCAGAAGGATCCTGGTTTGGATGGGTAGGCATCTACTTCCTACCTAAACATATACAGAGTACTAACTCATTGCTAATTGTTTTTTCTTATGGTTGATTGACCTCTAATTTGTTAAGCATTAAGCTACAGTGTGAGATGCTTTAACTGTTACAAAAATCATCCATATGGGTTGTGACATTCTAATATCCTAATTGTTAGAAATACTTTGGTAGGATTTTGCATTTCACACCTCAGAAAAAACACTACTGAGGTAGTCTTACAAAATCCCTCTGTAGATTTGCTGGTAAGGCTCAAACTGTTTCTTCCAAAAGTGAGCTCCTTTAATAACACCTGTCAGAAATACGAGTATTAAGTTCCTCCACTGCCTTGTAAAATGTATAGGAATTTAATAGCCTAAAGTAGTAGTGGTCTCAGGTGTGTATGAAATTGGTCAATTCTTTTGACAGTTACTAGTAGCTAGAGGCACAGGTGAAACCAGTGATCCCAAAAGCTTGCCTTTTTTTAAGAACCACAGAAAAGGAATAGTCAGGAGTGAATTCTGTGCTGTAGCCAAGTTGTTAAACCATTTATCTGCTGCAGCCAGTCATGGCCTCCTGGTACAAACATCCATTTCCTGATCTCCTAGAGGGGTGCAGAGCTGCTGAACTGAGAGAGGTGGTATTCTCTCCATTCTCTGGGTGAATGTGTAAAGTGCAAAATTCATTGGGAGCTAGACTTGGTAGTCCAGTATGAAGGAAAGTGGCCTGTGCAAAGAAATTTGAATTCTTGTCTCAGCATAACTAGGTTTTCTGAACATTTGTTACTACAGATACTCAGAGTTATCTGGCTTATGTTGTCTGCACTGCTTGCTCTGTCAGGAGAAGTTTGTTGAGTTGGAGGGTCTTTTTGTGGTTTGGGGGGCGGGGGGTGGTGGTGCTGGGATTTTTTAGTTTTTTTGAGTTTGTTGGGGGGAGTTTAATATAAATGTTAGAGGTCATAATAAAATCGTATCAGATTTTACCCAGAACCTCTAGGCAAAGGGAACCTCAGAAACTGTCTTCTCACACTCTCTTACCTGCTGTCCAGAATCTTGAAAACTCTGGGTTGGTTGAGTATGGTCAGAGGTAGGACAACTCCTTACATTGCTACTATTGGACTACAGCAAATAAAGAGCTAATTATCTGTATCCAACACAAATAAACTTACTATATATAGAATGAATTACACTGAAGACACTGGCTTAAGTGGTTTTATTCTTATTCATTTAAGTATTGAGCACCTTGAACTACAGATGAAAAATGACTAGTCCTAGGAGGATTCTGAATATACAGAACTGTGGTGAAGTGTTTGAGTGCTTGTGTGGCAATTTTGCTAGAAGAGCCTGTAACTACTTGGCACTCTTTTGTTACCTTTTATTTCTTTCAGGTACAGAAAGAAGCTTTGGAGCTGCTTAATTCTATATAAGAAGAAACAAGATAATGGGAATTCAGTGCCTCAGGTTTGAGCAGCGTAGGAAAAAGGCCCCAAATACTACTTTGGTTTATTGAAGCTGTTAATAAAAGTATGGCCCAGACCTTCTATCTCCATATCATTTCAATTACGGTGTCAACTAGAAGATGTTTCCTTATGTGATCATCTCTGCTGATTTGTATGGGAATGAAGGGCTTTATGGACAACCAAGGAATATATAGGATATATTAGAGGGAAAAGGCTGGGAGAGGGGTTGCACAGGTTTTTAATTAAGTTTTTTACACTCTTACACTACAAGTTGTGTATGAGGAATAATAAGAAACATGATTAGCATAAGTTTAAAAAAGGAGGGACAGGGCTGTGACAATTTTAATTCTGCAATTTTTTCTAGAGCATTTTGCTGTGGGGTTCAGTGGTCTTCAAGAGTAATAGATGTTGACATTATTACCTGCTCTTAAAGATTTCTCTTTAAGCCTGCACCATCTTAATTCCAATACTCTTAAATGCTAGTGTTTGCAAAAAGTGCTGTGGTAAAACAAAAAACAAACAAACAAAAAAACCCCCACAGGTAGGGAACATCAAAGAAAATTTATGGGTGATATCAGCAGTGATCTGTGAAATATGACTACTTACTTTTCTAAAGGCTGTGAATTCTGATGATTTTGTGGCTGTAAATGTTTGCTGGGTACACACAATTTCCCCTAGACTGACAACAGGAGGAATACACACTCCCAGTACATTAGAAAGGAACTGCTATGTGGAAGCATATGGACTTCTGTTTCTAAAGATAAAATTTTCTACTTGGTCTTGCTACCATTTTAGCAGGAATTTTCACCAGCAATATAAAGTAACCTAAGTTACATATCCAGCATAGAAAACATTTACAGACTTTCCAGACAGTATATTTGGATTACCCAAGAGAAAAAGAGGACCAAATAATGAAAAGATGGTAGGCAATCAATTACATGTGGTATTGTCAGTAGAACAATCTAGATCAAATTGACTATAAATACCTAATGTTTGCTTTACTAGAAAATCTATAGGGGGAATATGAAGAACAGCATAGTTGCTAAGACTCACAAACCAAGCCTGGTCTAAGTCAGTAGTAAAAATTAACAGCTGAGAGAGAATCTGAGGCTTTAATTCTAGCCTCAGATTATGAAACTAGTTAAAACAGGGGGTTTGTCCACTAAAGTAATTAAGTAATTTAAAGTAATTTTCTATTACTATTTTCTATTATAAATATTATAAATATTTATAATATTTTCTATTAGTAGAGCATCAAAATGAAGTCTTCAGTGTGGCAGCATCTCAGGGTGGATGATGTGTTTAGGAGAATTTTCTGCATTCATGTACTACAAAACCATTTGCCATACACAGATTTGCCTCCAGTAGCTTTGTGGCACAGGCACCTTACTTAGGTGCCTTTTCTGCTGCTGCACAAAGAGGAAGGATATCCAGGTACTGAGTAACAACTGTTGAGTGTGTAGTGAAAACCAGCTGAGTTGCAGGAAGAAAGGAACCAACAAAACCCATGAACTACACAGTAGCTCCTTCAAGTAGCGTTACCTCAATGGTTCCCTTGTCTGAGCTCCAGCCTTTGCTGTCTTCCCTCTCTTCAGTCTTACTCACTCCCCCCAAGTAGAGGTGAATTATGGGGAATTCAAATGGGAAAAGAAAATATTACAGTGTAGTATTACTGAAATTCCCTGAAAGTTTAAGTTACCTGTACACACATGCACATGAGTATATTAATTGTTGTGCTTTTTTTTCCTTCAGAGCCATGCTTTCAGTCAGTCCCTTGGCACCAATTCACAATCATACATGTACAGAAGGCTACTGGGTTTGTTATTTTTCTTGCTTACTAACCCTTACCCACAGGAAAAACTACTGCATTTATGAGACAGCTAAAGTTATCAAAACAATAAAGCAACTACATTCTTGTGATGTGCTGTCTTTATTATTATTATTTTGTTCAGTTACTCAGAGATTCACAAAATTCAGCAGTTGGTAGAGGGCCATTAAGTCATTCATTAGTGCAGATTCATAAAGTTTAACTGTGACATTTAGCTTTCCTCATTGTCTTTTAGGCAAGTCACACACACTTCTGGTTTTAGACTTTTTTTTTAAACTTCCTCTATTCTAACAAGTGTAAGTAATAATTAAAGTGGACTTGCACTTGAAACTGATGTAGTGCTACATGAAAGTGGTTTCGTAGAAGATATTTGGTGTTGTATGAAAAACCCTCAAGGTGGTTGAAATTCTTGAAGCTCTTACAGAAAAGTTCATGTAAATAGGCAGTCTGTTGGGCCCATTGCACTACCAGTATAACCAGAGCTATGCACAGATTAACAGCTCCACTTTAAGATGTGCATATTGAATACAAAGCCTCGAGACAATCCAGTATGTAGAAAAATAAAATTTTGGCAGAATTCAGTTGCTGTATTGGAAAGATACATGAACAGATACAGCTATTTTTTCGCATGTACACTTTTAACAGTGCAATATGATATGTTACACAAATGTGTTTAATCATATTCTAAAATCATTTTCATGTGTATACAAAATTCTGTATAATTTAAATGTAATGGAATTTACAGCTAATATTTAAAGCATAATACAAATGGTGATTTCAAACACATTTTTACTCTATAATAAGGAAGCACGGTTTGCTAAAAGTAGCATTTAATATAAACCACATGAATAAGGTGTTAAATTTTAATATTTTTAAACATATCTTTGCAGTTCAGCAAATGCCCTCAATGCCAATAAAACTAATTTTAAAATGCTTTTATGTTACTGTGCACTTAGGACAATCTTGACCTACCTAAAAGAATGACAGGTTTTAGACATACTTAATTCAAGTACGTCTAAATTTCCGTAAGAACTTTAGAGGAATGAGAGAATTTAATACTAAATAATATTTTTATCTGTGCAAATCTTAAGTAACTTTCATTTTATTTGGGTTTACTAGATCCAGTAACTGAAACTGAACATGAACACAGAAAGCAGCAAAATTCACATTACCTTTTGTATACCTTTTGTATACCCTTATAGCTCAGTTTACATTAATATAACTCTACAAAGTTACAAAAAGGACATCATGGATTGAAAAGGGAAACCAAAACAGGAAAAAAAAAAAAGAAAAAAGAAACCTGCAAGACACCAGACCAGGAAGAGAATGGGTAATATTTTCTCTTTTATTATTATTTTTTCTTTGAAGATTACCTAACATCCTCATGGTAATAACCCAAGGTACTATGTAAACAAATTTCAATGCTGCTCAAATGAATTAAAATACTCTGTTCAGCTCCTCCAATAAGTCAGAACAGTGGCACCAACTCCTTTCAACATTAAATCACATTCATCTTATTGTACATGACTCTTGTGCAAGTAGTAAAGGCTTTATTCATGACCTTGGCTACATCAGTAGAGAGGGATATATCAGCTATTTAGGTATTAAAAAAATTAAACTGACAGAAGAACAGATTCTGTCATCTCAAATACCAGCAGCATCTTTCTATATATTTAGGATACGTTTGGCCTAAGCCTTTAAAACCTTTTAGAATAGCCATGCAATAAAACAAACTTGGAGATGTTTCTTAAGAGAACACAGAGCAGTTTAAACATTTTTCTGAATGATAAAGCCAAGATAAAGCAAATCCAGGCCCTTTTAAATGGCTGCAACTTTTCATACCCTTAAAGCTCTATAAAACTAGAGCCCATTAGTATATATATTTATATTTTTTATATATATATTTTAAATAAGTCTCTTGTCTGCTTTCAAAATTTATGGAGGGGTTTTTCTGGTCTTTTGGGAGGGCAATAAATAAAAGTAGAAAAGGCTGAACTGTTTTGCATATATTTGTGGAAGAACAGAGAACAATTAAACTTTTAGAGTTCCAGAAAGATCACTGTACAGAACAAAAAGCTTATATACAATTAAGTGTGCAATTTTAGTTGGCTGGGCCTTTTATTATGCAAGATATCCATTTTGACTAGAAGCTGCTTCTACTCTTGACCAAATCCCTCTGTTTCTTCAATGGCAAAAAGCAACTTCTCTTTTAGTTGTTCATAGCTTTTATATGGTGGCAAATCCAAACGATTAAAACTGAGCAGAAAAAACATAAAATTTTGTTAACTTTATCTAAATCCCATGTAGAAGTCTACAGAACTTGACTGCTATAGCAGAAGTTACAAATGTTCTGATCTAACAATTAGAAAGAAAGAAATAACAATCAGCACAACCTCACTGCCTTGACATTGCTACAAGGAGTAAAACCAGATAAAGTTTAGGACAAATACTTAAAGAAATAAAAGACTGTTACCAGATAAAAACCCAAACCTTTGAAGACCGAAGACAGCCCAAGATTCAGAGAACTATAATACTTAGCAAAAAATATAATATAAACATAATACTTAGAAAAAACCCTATAATACTTAGAAAATGAAAAGGAAATTTTCAGCATGAAGTTTAATATAATCCTACTTTGATGCATCTCCAAATTTTAGCAACAGTATGAACAAGCTGAACTTGGCTCCCTCCTACATATGCCTGCATATAGGTTTTTCCCCCTAAACTTTGCCCTAAAAGGCTTCTGCCAAAACTGTTTCATTCCATGTCTTCCCCCAAATTATCATAGATAAAGAGAGATGTTTAACTCTTGCAAACATCACTTAGAAAAATCTAGTGGAGAAAATGTGAAATGGAGAATACCCTAAAGTGGTTTAAAAGTATGACAAATATTATTGTCACAAGTTGCCAAAGGAAAGTGTGTCCATTTTGCACACAGGATATATGAGAAACTGATCTGTGTACCTGTTGGCACCAGTTTGGGACAGGAATGCCAAGCCAATACTGGCCCATCTGAAGCCTAGGTGGGAAAAAGTATCAGCATTCTTGGCTAAGCATCCTTGTTTCGGATATTTGCTGTGATTTCTTTCACGCTGCTTCTTCTCATGACTATACATTTTATCTTTTATAATGTTACTGCATAACTGTATCTAATTACTGAATGTGCCTAATACTAACATGACTTGTTTAGGTATTTAATATTCTCTAAAATAAAGAATTAGGGAAACATCTCTTAGTCCTATGCATGAAGGATATTCTCATACTTTTGATAGATACTGACAAACTGTGTTCAGCCCAGT